ATGTATTGTAGGTATATGTATATTTCTTTCTTTTTTACATTTATATTGTTGTACACAAACTACCCTATTAGTTGTCTTCTAAATGGATGTTTGCCCTCAACAAAGATGGCCGCCGCATCACTTTATACCACCCATGCTGTTTATACTAGAGCAGGATATATGCTCTAGAAATTGTAAGTACAATACTATTTAATATTGGTCACACCACTAGTACTTACTTCACCATATTGCTGCTATTTTTTCCTTTCATATTTACTACGCTCACTGCATTGTGGAAATATTCGTGGAAACTTCTACAAATCCAAAGACGGGGATTATACCGTCCAGGCGTTCTTACAGCAGAGCTCTGTTATAGCTCATCCATATGTGAGTGGATTGAACTTAGCCTTATACTATCTGCTCTAAAGAATATATTTACTGTATTGCACTATCATTTGTTTCTTAATCTGTTTCCTTTGAGGTTACGATCCGTTTGGAATATTCAAGATATATGTATGTATATTTCACATATATAAATTAGGCGCGGTATACGTTTTCCATTTAAATATATCCAAGGCTAGCCAACACCTTCTGAAAACGGGTGGTCTGCCTACCCAGATACGCATGCGCTATAACAGACCCTCTAGGGATCCTTTCGACACCCACATGGGGGGTCATATGGGACAAAGGGAGGCTGACAGCTCCGGACACAGACCCCGACTTCCGTAACTTTGCTAGGCACAACACCCTGCGCACTGCCTGCAGATGAGGGGACAGACGCGCCTGACACGGGTGAAGCCTATGAGGTAGCCACTAACTGCCCGAACACACATGCTGACAGTACCTAAGGGCCCTGAAAACCATAACCCAAGGGACGAAAGTGGTACATATCACGAACGTAAATAACTTATAACATAACAAAATAAATTAAAAAAAAAAAAAAAGGCTGACCACCCTGGACGAGAACCATTTGCCCCACTGGTACCTACACCAGGCCACATGACTACACACTGAACACACCACGCGAAACAACTGCCCACGAAATAGGCGCACCGGGTCCCGGGGGCATGAGACGCCTCATCTATACTCAGTGACGACAGGTGACATAAAACCCACTTGTGAGGAAAGTGAAAATTACTTGCTTGCCCTTCGGCACTAAATGTTATTTGTTATGTAAATGATGCTTCAAATTACATGCTGTTATCGTTATGTATTCATGTTTAAATGTTCATTGACCTCGACTTTGAGGTTTCAGCTTAACCATCTGTATTTGAAGAGGAGCCCAATTAGCCACGTTTTTTGGGAAGCTCCCGCTCCTAAACCCCACGGTACGGCTAGCGTACCAGACCGCTAGGTCTTTGTATAAAGTTCCCATACCACCACGAGACCCACCCCAACCACCCCAACAAACCCAACCCAACCCTGCACACCAGTGTAAACCACTCGCAATCGAACCGGCCTTGAAAACGCACACTTGAGAGATCACCTACCCCCCGCCTCCCCACCACATCACACAACAACAAACATGATCATCTACTCGCACAACACCAAAGGCCTCAACACGCCACACAAAAGACGCATGCTACTAGACGATGTAAAACAACTGAAAGCCGACATAATCTGCGTACAAGAGACACACTTTGTATCAGGCAGAGTCCCTAAATTTGCCAGCAGAGACTACCCCATGCAATTCCACGCCACACACTCCTCCAAATCCAGGGGAGTATCCATCCTGTTCCATAACTCACTGACGGTGGAAACGCTCAGAGTCAAGATAGACAGCCAAGGGCGCTATATAATCCTACAATGTAGGATCAATGAACAACCATACGTTCTCGTGTGCCTTTACAGCCCAAATGACCAACAACGAAATTTGCTACACAAGGTCCTAAACAAACTCCCTGAAGATGCAACGGACCCAAGGATCATCTGTGGCGATTTCAACCACATAATGGACACACGCCTGGACTCCACCATGCCAAGTACAACACCCAGACACCTCACGCTCAAACCATCCGCCAAGGCGTTTACAAAACTCATACACGAAAACAGCCTATATGACATCTGGAGAACTAGACACCCCTTAGAAAGAGAATATACGTTTTTTTCGAACACTCACAAAACCTACTCAAGAATACACCATATCCTCATATCCGGAGTGCTACTCCCGCAAGTAGAGGCATGCTCTATAGGCAACATTGTATGGTCAGACCATGCCCCTTTATTGATGACACTACACTCCATATACCAACACCGAGGCAAACCACCTTGGCGCCTCAATGAGTCATTACTCTACGATAAATCCTTCGCAACGACATTGAACACTAACCTACAAGACTACTTCAAGACGAATGATAACTCGGAAGCCTCCATCCTCTCAATATGGCAAGCCCACAAAACAGTTATAAGAGGCCTTCTAATCAGCCGCGCGACATATCTGAAGTAGAAGCGAGACAAAGAATACATAGATCTCCTACGTAAACTGAGAGATACTACTACAGCTCACCTACTTCATCCCTCACAGGCCTTCTCGAAGGAAATAAAAGACATCACAAATCAAGTCAACTCACTTGCTCTGGCCAAAACAGCCCATGCCCTTACCAAACTTAAGTTGAGAACATATACTCAAGGCAACAGAGCAGGGAAACATCTGGCCACCCTGCTCAAAAAGCAGCAAACACAAGCTAAAATCCCATACTTAGTCACCACCTCGGGCAACAAAATACACAACCCACAAGACATCAACGACAGTATGGCTGATTTTTACCATTCCCTTTATAATCTACACACAGACCCGACATTACACCAACCAACACCAACGGAAATAACTGACTTTCTAGCGGATATACGGCTCCCTGCCCTATCTACCACACAAAAACACGATGTACAAACACAGATCACCACACAAGAAATTCTAGACACCATATCCTCCTTACCATCGGGGAAATCACCAGGCCCGGATGGCTTGTCCAATACCTATTACAAACAGTTTGCACCAATCCTAACCCCATATCTACTGAAAATATACAACCATGCCATACAAACAGGCAAACTGCCATGCGAGATGCTGATGGCCCATGTTGCCACCCTACCCAAACCAGGGAAAACCCCTAACAGATGCCAGAACCTCCGTCCCATATCACTACTAAACACTGACATCAAAATCATAGCAAAGATCTTCTCTAACAGACTATCACACATTATTCCCTCCCTGATCCAGTCGGATCAGGTAGGATTTGTAGGAGGCAGACAGGGGGCAGATGGCACAAGGAAAACCCTAGATCTTCTTTACGAGATACAACGGAACAAAATCCCAAGCGTCCTACTCTCGCTAGATGCTGAGAAAGCCTTTGACAGGCTCCACTGGCCCTTTCTCATTGCAGTACTTAAAAAATTTGAATTTCCCCTACAATTCCTGTCGATCATTACCGTACTCTACTCCTCACCAACTGCCAGAGTGGTTAACGGAGGCTTTATCTCCAAACCCTTTAATATATCCAACGGCTCTAGACAAGGCTGCCCCCTCTCCCCGTTGCTTTACATTTTATCACTAGAACCCCTCGCACAAATGATAAGAGACAACCCGAGTATACACGGTATTAAAATAGGAAGTAGGGAATACAAACTGTCATTATTTGTGGACGACATACTCCTCACCCTAGAACAACCGCATATCTCCCTACCCAACTTCCACAAAATCCTTTCCAAATTCAGCACCTGCTCCTACTATAAACTGAACATCTCAAAAACCCTAGCTATGGGTATCAATGTCACAACTCAGGAAATGACCACCCTCAAAGCCAGTTTCTCTTACGACTGGAGACAAGACCACCTCAAGTTTCTAGGGATCCTACTCACCCCCTCCACAACCTCGTTGTATAAAGCAAACTATGCAAAACTAACCACAGAAATCAAGAACCTACTACTAAGCTGGAAAGGCAAATATATATCTTGGCCCGGCCGGATAGCCTCTATTAAAATGGTGATCCTACCGAAGATTCAATACCTGTTCCGCACACTCCCGCTCAAGATCTCGAACAAGTACTTGGAAGATCTACAACGCATCCTGAATGACTTTGTATGGGACTACAAAAAACCTAGGGTGCCCCTCAGCACGATGTTCAAACCACACGCCAAGGGAGGAATGGGACTACCAGACATTAAAAAATACTACAGAGCAGCACAGATAGCTCCACTCCTCGCGGCTTCAAACCATACAACCCCTTTGCCTTGGGTCGAACTGGAAGCATCTAAAACCGATGGGCTCACACTTCCCACACTAGCCTGGCTACCGGCAAACCGACGCCCCTGCAAGTTAGCAATGCTTCCAACAACGGCCACGACCCTTTCAATATGGGACAACTACCACAGGAAGAGAGGGAACATATCGCCTCTAGCACCAGCAACCCCAATAGAAGCAGTAAGACAACATATCCCAAACTTCAACCACAAACTCTGGCTCCGACACGGTGTTCTCACACTGTCGCAAGTACTACAGGGCGACAGCCTCAAACCATTCCCTGACATCTGCCGAGAGTTCAAAATGCCTATGATCGCAAACTTCTCCTACAATCAACTACAATCTTGGACAAACATCCACAAACCAAGAAGACACAAGAGCCCACCGGATCCACACTGGCTTAAAATAACAGAAATATGCACAAAGACAAAACCGGCAACAAAACTCATCTCATTGATCTATACCTCAGAACACATAGACACTCAAGCAAAGCCCACACCATTCCAAGAAAAATGGGAACGAGATCTAGGATACAAACTCACAGATGAGAAATGGCTGGATATCTTCCAAGCGAACAAAAAAATGACCCTCTGCATGTCACACATGGAACTCTCACGCAAACTTCTCTACCGTTGGTATCTAGTCCCCACGAAACTAAAACATTGCTATCCCACAGCATCCGACACATGCTGGCGTTGCCAAAGAGACCGAGGAACCTTCCTACACATATGGTGGCAATGCCCACTCCTACAACAGTACTGGACACAGGTCCTAGATTTAACGAAACGATGCACCCAGATACACATTCCCCAGACACCGGAGCTATTCCTATTGCTCCTGCTCCCCCAAACACCCCAAATCCACACCAAATATCTGCTATACCACATCTGTATAGCAGCCCTCACTGTCATAAGCAGGAAGTGGAAACAAACAACCGCCCCAACGATCCACCAATGCATTGAGGCGGTGGAAACGAACAAGGCTTATGAAAATGCAGCACGGAAATCCAGACGGAGCGAACCCTTCTGGACCAAGGCATGGGCCCTATGGGACAAAACCAAACCAAGCTGACCCACAAGACATCCACAAGCCATGCGACCAAGACAACGCACCTCCCTGACTGGAGGAACACGTAACTCCCACACCCTGACTGGCTGGCCCACACACATACCCACTGAGACACACATCAGTATGCACACCAACACACCCCCACCAATCACACACCGACACAACACGTTCCACACGCACACACCCTACCCCCCTCCCCTTCCCCCCCCCGACCCAACCTGCCCCCACCACCCCGCACCCTACGGAACCACCACTGAGCGACAAGAATTTGAATATGAGACAAGGTCACTTGGACCAGGAAGTGGTGGCACGTGACCCTGAATTTACGCTGATGTATAATCACTATGGAACCATACAAATCTTGGGCACAACAGGTCAACTAACTTATGTAATAAACTACTCGACACTGAAATGTCTTGTGTATGCATTGCACCCCATGCCACCCCACTGTATCCATGATACTCTCAAGACGAACTGCATGACTCCCCCCCCTTTTTTTGCCTTTTGTATCCCCCCCCCCCCCCATGCCTCTTTAATGCAAAATAAAAATTGTCAAATCAAAAAAAAAAAAAAAAGATAGCCGCTTGAGTTAGGACACCCAGTAGACCTAAGGCCCACAAGATAGTTAAAACGAAGGGAAGCGGTTCCTCGGCTCCTCCCCTCCCCGTAGGGACCTTATTATCTTTTTTCAACACCTACCTACCTTTTTCCTACTTATATTTTTCTCTTATTATGTGTAGCATATACCTCCCAGAGGATGTAGGGAGAGATATACCCGGAAATTGTTTAAAGACCAGGTGTGAACAGAGGAACGTAAACCAAAGCCTTCAGAGGGCCCCTGCCAGCTGCCGGCAACATGTAGAGAGCGTAATGACTCCCGCGATGGGGACCCATGGGGCCCTTTAAAGACCAGGGGGTGGGAAACACGCTGCAGGTTATCTATCTAACTCTGATACATAGAGAAACCAATTACACAACATAATATTAGATCAGAGGGCTCCCGGCAGTTGGAGGGCACACACCAACGTTATTTATGTACATGTACAACAGCCAAGTTTCATATGCCACCAAATATTTCTTGGTTTTTTGTTTCTTTTTATTTTCCTTTTCTTCTCCTGTTACCAATCATCAAACTAAAGTTGACAAATTGTAACTCGCAATATCAGAAAGCATTAAGGTAACTAATACATCGTTTTAGGGGGCAATGGTGGAGACTGTTAGACCACCATCTGCTGCATGGGTATGCGATAGATAGGTTACTACACTCTGTATACAATGTGTATGTCAATCTTTGTTTGAGTTACGGAATGTGATCGATATATGCATGTTATCTCTGTCAACATAAATAAAGATTTTTTTTTTTTTTGTTATCTGGGCTGCTTTCTGTTCTCAGTCCTGGCCTGCCCCTACCCCACCGGTGTCCATATTGTTGGTGCCGACATATCTTACTATCCTATCAATGCCCAAGGGCTTAATAAACTTGAGAAACGTTCAGGAGCCCTACAGGACTTCCACGTGGATAGACCCTCCATAGTATACATACAGGAAACTCACTTTCGGAAAGGCTCCAGGCCCAAACTGACAGACCGCCATTTCCCAATGGCATATTACAGCGACCACTGCGCAGGAAAAAAAGCGAGGCAATCCTGATAAAACAGGAGGGTCCCATTCCACGAGGGGGTGGCTCTAACAGATCCAGAGGGTAGATACCTATCATACAAAGGAGATGTCTAACAGTTTTCAAGGGAGAAAAGTAGCTAGCTGTGACACAGTCAATGACTGTCTCTGTATAAAAAGTGATTTCTGTCAAAAACAGGTAATAGTGTGATTGAATGATGAGTGAAAAAAGTGATGTCATTATTGTATTAAGATTTTACCACAGAAAATGTATAAAAGGAATATGTGCAGAATTTAGATGACAGAATGCTTGTATAAAAGAATTACAGGGAAGCAATTGTGTAAATTGTCCTTTTCATGCCCAGGCATATTTATTACATATGTACACTATTAGGCAAAACAACCACATTTAGTATTAGAAAGGCAATATTCTTCATAAATCATTCCTAGGGTATCTGCAGGGCCTAACAATGCTCTTCAGGAGGGTTAGAAATCCAAGTGGTGAAAAAGCAGGATGTTGCAGCCTGAAGGCAAAAATAAAGCCTACAACCAAGGGTGGAGGGGAGTGAATTGAGGCATGCAATCTACAAGGCTAGAAAAGAAGAAAGCTAGTGTAAATAGAATGCAGAGAAAGAGTGCAGAATGGAAAGAATGAAGCACGATGAGAGACTGAGGAAGACAGACAAAGAACGACAGCATACAAAAAGCAGTACAGAGTATACTAACACACTGGAATATAAGAGATGATTACAGACAAGGAGAGATGATAAATGAAAAAAAAAAAAAAAGATTAGGACTGAGTGGAGGAGGAAAAGAAGGAGGGCAGGGAAATAAAGGAGAGGAGATCCTGTGATTACAGGAAGAAAGGAAATCAGTGAGAGGATGATATCCACAGACGGAGGGAGATGGAGAGAAACGAGACAGATTGGCTGATTCTGTAAGAAAGACCACAGAGTATCCCGCATGTACAAACGTATTACATTACATTCATGTAAAATGCTCCTTCTGTTTTGTTATAGCACAATGCAATATTACAGGCAGCAGGTGATCGAGATGGTAAAGTAAAAAGAAGGTGAAAGGTGTTCAGTCAGTCATTTCATAGCAGCTTGGCGGTTGTAGGGTTAAAGCCTGCACAGGTCCCCTTCCTTTCTCTCCTCCTCTGCCCTCCCCGCAGTGTCAGGGAATCCCCTTTTCACCATCTCTCTCTCTCCCTGTTTCTTTCCACATCAAAGGCTGCGCTCAGGCTCCCCGGTTGCTATGGCGATTGACCATCTTCCCTCCGCCAGCGTGTGCGCCAGAGCTTGTGAGGAGTTTTGTAAATAAAGCTTTGTAATGAGTTAACCATTTCGCCCTAGTCAGACAAGAGAAAAGGGGGGGATTTATCAAGGCAAATAAGGTGATATTCTGTGGCAACAACAAGCTAAGGTGCAAATCATCATGGACACCGGCAGAATGTCGCAACATTTAGCACATAGCTCCTAAGATAGCTAGAGTGGTGTGTGTCATTGTTCTGTTTATGTGGAATCTCATGTCACGAGAAAGCAAGGTTAGACAGAATGTGGAGTGTTGGGAAACAGACGGTCTAAAAGAAATCTGAGCATCGGTAGCGTGGTGGACATACAGGTAGGTAATGCAGAGCAGGGTGGGGACCAGATCAATGGGGATATTAATAGGAAATTAAGGCATTTTGAACAGGATAAGGACATTTAAAACCATTAGACAGGGAAATGAAGAATGATGGGAGAAAATGTAAACATGTCAAAGTTATAGTTAAGGTAGAAGCGCAAATTAGATAAGAGAGAAAATACTAGAGACCATCTGCAGGTCAAAGGGCAGTTTCAAGTGGCAGAGGAAATGGCAGCTCACCATGCTGCCAATATCTCTCACCCCTCAGTCATTCAAAGATACACCACTCTTTGTAGAGAAACACAAACATTGTCCTATTGTCACTGGGGCTTATTTGTGCAGACCAAGCCTCTCTCCCAGCGATTTTGCTCATTATTCTATATGTTCTGCCTCACTTTGCTCATGTGATCCAGTAAACTAATTAATTCTCTATAACAGCTGCTGAGAAACTGAAGTGCCCCATTTATCTGCAGTTTAAAGGTTAATTACTAGTTCAGCTCCAGGGATTTTCATATTCAGGAGAGCCCCCTCCCTAGCCTTACCTCCTTAGCCACCACACTACCAGAAACCTTTTTAATGCCAGAGACATATAGAAAACATTACACAACAATTTACTGTATGTCTATATAGACTAGAAAAGAGTACATTAATATTAGTCATTAATCAGGGACCTGTGTAAAAAAATAAATTAAAAAATGCATATTTTAAAGCCAATACTACAGTACATGATGACTGCATTGTTTAGTCCACATTTATCACAATAAAGTCCTTTTTTTTAGTGCAGATGGGAAGCATGTATGTTATGAACCTTCCTATGAGTTCTCCTTTATCCAGAGTTCAGTTATTAAAACAGTTTTAAACTGTGAGTTCATATTAATTTAAATACCAAAAGATAAGTCCTGCGCCGGCAGCAATGACTACAGTACACATCAGCCCCAATATATAGTAAAAACCAAAGAAAAGAAAAAGTTACCTGCGCTCTCTCCTTAATCCCTATGTATGTTTAGACAAATGGAGGTCATTTAGTTGCTCCAATGGCCATTGGAGGGAATGCCCGCCTGCCAACATCAAGGCAGATGGGAAGCATGTATGTTATGAGCCTTCCTATGAGTTCTCCTTTATCAGTTATTAAAACAGTTTTAAACTGTGAGTTCATATTAATTTAAAGCTGAACTACAACTCCCATGATTCTTAGCCTATCTATTTCATTCATAGAATCATGGGCGTTGTAGTTCAGCAACATCTGGAGGGCCAGAGTTTGGGGGGAGCTTGATTTAAAGGGACACACTAAACACATAAAGAATTTCAGCATGCTGAAGTTCTTAATGTGTGCAGAAGGTGTCGTCCCTTTACATTTTATAAAACGTCCAGATTTCAATTAAAATTCTCACTTTTAGAAATTGTTACACCCTCTGCCTGTCAATCAGACAGCTTACCCTGTTACTTTCTGGTTTGGCGCTAAACTCAAGAGGCAGCATTTGCCCAGAGCACCTGTCTTGCAAAGACTTCTCATAAAGCCTCATTGGAAAGACTGTGATTGGGCAGTTACAGAAAGTTACTGCAGCTTTTTCCCAAACGGTTTTCAGGTATTATTATTATTGCCATTTATATAGCGCCAACAGATTCTGTAGCGCTTTACAATATTATGAGAGATATTATGAGAGGGGGAGTGGGGGTTAACTATAAATAGGACAATTACAAGAAAACTTACAGG